AGTCGCTGTCCAGTCATTGAGGGATTCTAGCGAATGGGTAGTAACGGACTTCCCTGCTACGAACCCATGCTGGGAAGATGGGATTATGTTGTTCTCTTTAAGATTATGAATAATTTGAGATTTAAGAGCCTTCTCAAAAATTCTACAGAAGAGAGATGTGATACTCACTGGCCTATAATTGGAAATGTCCGAGGAAGGTGACTTTTTCAAAATAGGAGTGATATATGATGCTTCCAGAGTTCGTGGGACTTGAGAAAACATGACTGACTGGTTGAATATGTAAGCCAGGGAGAAGACGATAGCATGAGCAATGTTTCTGACAAATATGAAAGGAATATGGTCCGGAGTGATAGAGTGTGAGCATGGCCACCTCATCAAAAGACTGTAGGACAATCGCTCGGTCAGAATACGGGGAAGGTATGCACTCATGGAACTGCTTGAAATAGAGCGCGGCATATGTGTGAGAGTATGGTGGAAGACAGCTGCCATCTTGTTGAAAGTTTTTGCTAAATACATTTGCGAAAGCATTTGACTTGTCCTTGTCATTCAGAAGTTACTTACCCTCAGATTTCAAATCCGTAAACTGTGACTCCTTACGGAGTCTAGACCTCATGAAGTTGTAAAAGCGTTGAGTGCGAATGATGTTCTTTTCGACGTTTTTATTATATTTGGAGCAGCCCTCAGCTAAACATTTAGAAAATAACCTCTTCAATACAGGAATCAAAGGTGGCATGCATACCGAAATATCAAAGCAAATACTAAAATGGTCGCTTTCGCCAATAGGAGACCTCACAGTAACATTTTTAATAAATTCATGGTCATTCGAAAGCAATAGATCTAGAATGTTACTCCCTCTGGTAGGTTCAGCGATAAATTGCTTAAAACCATGCAAAACGAAAGTTTCTGCAAGTGGGTGGTGCGATTCTTCGACATCGTTACATCGATCCCATTTAATTTCTGGGAGATTGAAATCACCTATTATAATTACCGGGACTGCTGCAGCCGCTAGATCGCTGATAGCCTTTGGCTAACTGCTCAGTAATAGTGGATGAGGTCGACGGTGGTCTGTATGCTAATAACCCGAAAGCGAAATTCAGGGGTGGCAATGTCCGTCGCAAGAATTTCATACCCTTGTGGAACAGACTCACAAAAGATAACTGAGTAGTTTATAGTTTTTCTTATTAAAATTGCCACTCCACCCCCGGCTCTACGGCTTCTGTCACAACGCAAGATAGCATAGTCACCAATCCAGTCATTAAGCATAGAGGATAATGAGTGATGTTTTTTGAGCCAAGTTTCTGTGAAGAGATATAAATCGTACCTACCTCCGGCCACCAGGTCAAGAGAAGTGCAATTTTTCGGAAAACGATCTTATGTTTGCATAGAAGACAGATAAATGAAAAAACGAAGTGGGTCCATGCTGATCATTAACATTTGCAAAATACCGGAGACAAGGCTTCAGTTTCCCTGGTTGCTGGTGTTAGGTTGTGAAATAGAATCTTGGCTATGGCTGACAGTATGAGGAAGACCTGAGTTAAAACGATGTAGACGTTCTTCTCGCCTTCGCTCTCTCTCTGGTTTCGAGAGGGACTCTCTTAAGAAAGACCCCTCTCCCAGGGAAGGAGCGAAGACGGGGAGCCCGTCGCACTGCGAGTCGCTGGAAATAAGACGAGGGCATTACAACTTTCAATAATCTATTCTTGTTCTGAATATGACGGCCTAAGTCTGTAAACTGAGACGGGTAAGCATTCTATATCTAAGTGAGCTAGAATGTTAAGCACACTATTATAATCGTAACATAACCTATTCATAACAACAGAGTCCTTAAGCTCAGGAACACCCGCAATAACAAGAGATCGGAGCCGTTCAGATTCGATACAATCACGAATGATGACAGGCGAAGAAGTAGTTGAATGCTCCATTTTTAGGTTCATGCCTTCGCGCAAATAAGAACCATCGGGTCTACCAAAGTTCTGACGCAAAAGCAAATTTTCTTGATGGAGCTTGTCACGCTCCTCCCTAATATCGATGAGCTCATGGATAAGAGAGTTGAACGCATTCTTGACTCAATCAGGAACCATTGCGGAAGTATTGACCTCTCTCATAGCATCTCCAAACAAGGTAGACTCGAAGCAGGGTATGACGGTGAGCTCGCGGGGCTTGATCGCTT